TGAATGACACAAAGCAGGGTCAAGTGTCAAACTTTAATAGACCTGTAGGAGAATGCATGTGTCGGTCTGTTTCCATATGCTTCTCCTTGACTTCTGCTTTCCCTCATTTTCCAAGCTAAAGCTTCATGAGCACTTGCAACAAACGTCCTAGGTTCTTCTGATGTAAGGAAAAGTGAGTGAGCTCTTTATTGTTTACCAGACTGACCTTTTCAACTGGCCTCTTGGCCTGGATGTTTTCCCAGTGACAGTAGTTCCTTCTGCCAATGGATGTGTAGCAGAGTTGGATTTTTCTCTTCCATCATGCAAATGCTAATATTTCTGTTTACCTAACAGGTTAACAGGAACTTCACAAAACTACTGAAATTGTTGCCAAAGTGGTTGGAATGTTATTGACTTCCAGGAAAGTCACGTAGACAGTCTGCAAACCCATGTGCTTCTGGGTACATTTCAGTGCAAGCACTGAAGTGCCACAATGGTTGGGGTATTGCTTAGGAAATCTGTTCAACTAGCTCATTTGCCATCTGTGACTTTTGGCTTGCCTTGGTGAATTCTCTAGGGAGGTTAGGAAGGTTCTTGCATTTCCATCAAGCTTTTGTGATGTGCAGGTTGTAGAGCAATTGAATTCGACCTTCTTTTCCTGCATCCATATTGATGAATCACTCCTGTAGCTCAATGTGCTTTTTTTTCCCTTTGTCCTGAACCGACTGCACATTTACACAAGCATGAAAAAAAAGTAGTGAACAGATGATGCAAACCTCTAAACTAGGGTAACTTTACCCAGTCTGATGCAGAATTTGCCTTTGAAAGACCTGAGAGTTAAACTCAAGTAGTGTTGCAACCCCAGTTTAGATGCTGTCTGTCTGCGTCTATCCTGGAGTAACTGTTTTGCTAAGGGCAAGCAAGCTATTACGTGCACCCGTAACACCTAGTGACAAGGGCTCAAAGGTGCATTAAACCCATAGTGAGAAAGCAGCAGAGAGACAGAGAAGTCAGTTGAGTGCACTACAAATCACTTTGTGGCTTGCAGAGTGAATTCCTTAATAACAAAGTTCTCACTGCCAAATGCTGTTTGCTTTTGCCTTCAGAACTGCCTGCATTAATAATGAGCATCTCCGGTTGGATGTTATTTACATAAAGTATTGTTTTTGTGCCATTGTCACAGACAACAACTCTGCGCTAGGTGAGCGAGAGAGGGAACACCCTGCATATGAATTCATAAAGCAGCCCAGTTTAATGCAGTGCGAAGAACCATGGGAAGTTCCCACAGAAATCCAGCCCAGCACAGGGACTGGTACAGCATCGTTGTAGGCAGTTTCATGCATCTGGCACAGTTAGCCATGTTGCACCAGGCTGACCCACGCTAAGCTAGCTTGTGTTGGGCGTGCTTGGGTTAACTTTACAGTGACGATGTAACTTCAAGAAGTGAGACTGTGCATCCATAGTCTCTTAGTCTTATTGCACTCTGAGGCCTGGTATGAACCCTGGCACTTACACAGCAGAAAGGAACCTACTCAGAATGAGAAGAAGAGAAAAACGTGTTGGGGTATTGACGAACAAGGATTCTCCTGCCCTGGTGCACTGAATTTTAACATCACAGCCACTCTTCATTTTTATTCTGCTCCTTTGCTAGGTCAGCAGCACACTAGAAATGTAGGAATGCAAATTCCTTTGCCAACTTTGCAGCTTGGTCACTAGTTTCATAGAGTTTGACCTCTGGTCTTGGTCTCCTATGTAGAAAAGGTCAATTGCCAAATTTTGATTTACTTTTTCATGCTGCTTCTGAATGGCTTTTCTTTCGTACATGGGGAGGGAGGAGGAGTGTGTGTGTCATGATGCATTGCTTTGCGTTAGTAGGTCAGACCACTAGATTCCTCGCCAGCTCTTTCTGATACAAGTCCAATTTGCCACAGAGAGACAACAGTATCCAAGAGGAAACCCCTGCTTGTGGGGCAGACACTGGATTTTCACAGTTATGTCTGCCTGCAAGTTGATTTGCATACATCAGAGTTGCCACAGAGGGAAGGGGTAGGGGGTTGACTAGAACAGATCAGAGCAACCATTCACCTTCCTTTCCCCTCTGTATATCCATGTACACAGTACATCTCTCAAAATGTGAGAACCCCTTCTGTTCAAAGCATAAACTGCCTTCCTCAAATAAAGGAGATCCCACTCTGGAAAGAGTAACAGAGTGCTGTTCTCCTCCCTACTCTCGCCCTCCAAATTAAGGAAATAATTGGAAAAGAGAGGTGTGAGTTTCTCCTTAATGGTGGCAGGGAGAACATTAAAGACCCTGTCTCTCCACTTCATTCACAGTTTCTTGTATGGTAATTGCTATGTTATGGTTTCTAATTATCAACACAGCAGGGGTGTTTTTTCTCCCCCCTCTCTGAAAGGGTCATCTGTGCCCCAACAGGAGTCTTTTGTATCCCCCCCCCCGGCCTCCCCATAAGCCTGTGTGGAATTTCCTTCCAAGCCTGTCCATACCACTCTTATTGACTGCCCAGTAGATATCTCGATTATGTAGGTGAAGAGTGGTGCATTTGGCCTTTTTCCCCTCCCACTCACTCTGTCTGTAGATAAAAGGAAGCTCAGGAGACCCAGAATCTAAGGGCTCCTATGTGACGGGTGTTGTTCTCGCACTGGGGGGCATCTGAACTCTAAGGCTTCCAAGCTTTGGGGACTTGCATGCAGGATGCCTCCCATGGATTTGGGAGTACAGTATTTGAAGCCCCAGACTAAAGAGTCTGGGCGGTAGGATATTTGCCAGTGGTAGCACCACACAGACTTGAACAATTAAGCTCTGCTCAGTTGAAATTTGAAACTTAATTTGGAATTGATTTGGCTTTGGAAACAACATTTTTAAAAATGGGACAGCGGAGCCTCTGGTTATGTTGATGTCCATACTTTGCCCAGGTCATGCTGATGCCTGCTTCCTCTGTGTTTAAGTATTTTTCATGTATTTAATGCAGTGCGAAGAGCCATGGGAAGTTCCCACAGAAGCCCAGCCCAGCACAGGGACTGGTACAGCATCATTGTAGGCACTACCCCTAGCCAGCAAGGAAGTCACAGGACTTGAAGGGGGGAACATAGGATCCCTTTCCCATTTCCATCATAGACTTACATGACCCCGTGGCCAAATAACGTATGCTTTTGGTGCCCAGGTTTCCCCTTCTGTAAAATAGAGGTGATTGTTGTCACTCGCCCATGAAGCCTGTGAGATTTACTGTGGCAGTTTTATGAGTGCAAGGCATTTTATCATTCTGCATGTTGTCCGCCAAGGGATCTTCTTCCTTCACTCCCTGCTGGGCCATACCACAAAGGAGCCAGTGTTCCCAACCTAGCAACATGGCATGGCATGGTGGAGGTGCTGCTTGCTCTTGCCCTCTGACCTGTAGGGTAACCTTGAATAAGATACTTCCCCAGTCCATGCTGTCATGTCCACTCCCACCCTTCAGTCAGTCTTGTGCATTTAGAGACTTTCCTTTCCTTGGAGCAGGGGCTGTCTCTCGCTGTGTACTTCCAACACAATGGGGCCTTGATCTTATGGCCTGTCAACCCTCCTATGCCAGAAATAAAGAACATAGAGTAGCATCAGTTTCCATGCCTGTATTCCCCTTGTATGGTAACTGTTCCACTGCAGAAAACAAAGCAACCTTCTTGCTGGTCATAGACTAGAGCACTCCTGCTCGTCAAGGCTGTTTTCTGTTTCCTCTTATTTTGATTTTGTTTGTTTGTTTCCTTTAGAGCCATCTCAAAGGGGGTGGAGGGGGAGGAAGGAGGAGTGGGGAAAGCTACAAGGAGGAGACGTGCAGATTCATTTTGAGGATTCATAATGCTACATTTACACACCGCACTGCCTGAGGAAATTGGGTAGATGAATGCCTGGTCATGCTGCCAGTGCACTGGGTTAACTCCCTGGATTTAGCTTATATCATTTCACGAGAGCATTTACGGCCTTTACTGTGTTTATTTCCAGTCGCTCTTTGGCACTGCTGCATCTCCAGCCCCTTTGTGTATGTGTGTGTGTTTGTGTGTGTGTAGATTTTCAAATAAAATAACACATCTATTCAGACCCAGTCCACATTAAATATTTATTGCCTGCAGTTTGTGCATATGTGTTTGATAAATGGGCACGAAAAAAAGGAAAAGAGAGCTTAGAGCTTAGCTGCAAAGAAAGGCAGCCTTTGTCCTGGAATTTCCAAGAGGAGAGAAAGTGCATCTTTAAGGGAAAGAGGTGGGGGTTGGTCAACTTTAAAAACAGCCTTGGTCCCTTCACAAGCACAGCTTTCCCCTTCTACCTTATCCACCCATTTAAGAAAGTACCCCTTCAGAGAAGATTTGGGGAAACCCAACAACTCTGCCTTGAGGCTGAGCAAAGGATATTCCTAGAAAAAAGACAACCTGCTTTCAGTGTTCATGTTTCACAGCATCATGTTCAGACTCCTCGGGTTCATGTCCATCACTGGGTCATGTTAGTGACTTGTGTATTGCAGCTGATTTTCAATCCCAGCCAAAACACACAGGCAGATCCCTGTAAATTGCAGCTAGGAGTGCCACTGCCTACTGTTAAATCATTACATGTAGATAATGTTCCTTGTATGCCCACCTCGGAGGACAATGCTGTGGTGCAGATCCTTAGTCACTGCAGATTGCAAAGGAGAGGGGGGAAAAAAATTATGCCGGGTTCTGGCAGGAGAGCTGGTTGTGTGTTCGTGAGTAACCGGAAAGGGAGATGCTTAGAATCCAAGATGAGTTCTCATTTTCTCTCTCTCTCTCTCTCTCTCTCTCTCTCTCTCTCAATTGAATGATTTTTTTTTTTAAATGCGACCAAGAGAGGGCTGGGTTTGCTTACAGAGCAGTATTTGCTGGTGCTGATAGTTCTGTAACTATAGTTTCTATCAGACAGGCAGATATATCGGGAGATATGTCTGTAATGGCAGTGATAAGCAAGGTGGCGTTTCCCTTTATCGGAGTTTGACTCATCTGTCTTCTGTTTGCAGCACCTTTGGGGAGCTGAAGACTGTCCGACTGCCAAAGAAAATGGCTGGAACAGGATCACACCGTGGGTTTGGATTTGTAGATTTCCTCACCAAACAGGATGCCAAGGTGAGGCTCGGGCTGTGGTCCTCTCACCATCCTCTTGTCTGTTTTCACCCCTCAGACTGCAGTAGTTTGAGGGAAAGGCCTTGCCTATGATGGGGATTAGCCCAAATATTACAATCAGTAGCCACCCACCGGTGCATTTCTGACATACAGTTACAGTGTTGTTGTGACTTCTGTGTCCACCCTTGGGATTTTCAGTTACCTAGTTGGGATCTTAGCCAGTTCCCAATGCAGACGAGGCTAAACTATGGCGATACTATAGGATTCCTTGTTGTACAATTTGGCCAGATGGCTCAGGATAATACCAGAGTATCATTGCCCAAGCACTAAAAGCTCTTCACTCCATCTGTTGGCATCAAGTTAACATGGTGCTGAATGAATCAGCAAGAGCTCACATAAAGAAAAGGTGAGAATAATGCAGTATGACTCCTTTTAAAAACACTTTCTTGAACACCTGGCGGGTAAACCTCTGTAGGATCCAAGCAGTGTTACTTACCATACAGATAGGATGTGATTACATGGCAGATTAAAAACAGCTCATCATTGACATGCTTTTAAAGGAGGATTTATTCTTAGTGGATTTTACATGAGTCTAAAACAGGGGTAGGCAACCCTGGCACGGGTGCCAGAGTGTGGCACGTGAAAGCATTTTGCTTTGCACTCACTCCTCAGGACAGCTGGTGGAAAAGGGGCTGGGGCAGCACTGCCACAACAAAGATCAGGCATCTTGCAGCTCCCTCGGTGTCCACCCCTGGCATGCCAACACCTTACAAGTCAAGGTTGCAAGTATTTTTGGCACTCTGCCCAAAAATGTTGCCACCTCCTCATCTAGAATGTGTTTCATGGAACAGGGTAACAGATAAAACAGTAGCAGCCAAAAAAAAAAGAAGAAAGTGGGTGTTGAAGTGGATCAAACAGAGCAAGAGGCTATGGAGACCAGAAACAGTTTAGAGTAGGGGGGAAGCCATCCAAGTTGGCCAAAACGACTGTAGAAAAATTGTGTAATTTAGAAGGCAGCATAATATAACAGGAAGATGTTTGTTTGAGAGCACCATAACCATAGGGCTAAATGCATCCATGTCAGCTGGGTTGTATCTACTGAAATGGTTAATTTGGTTCATAGCCAGTAATCAAGTGCATTTCCTGTGGTCAGAGTGTGCTGAGATACTCATTATTCCCCCAAGATAGCATGTGTATTAGGAGAAGATGTGCTGGGCCTCTGTCTTGGCAAGCTAATTATTAGCTGTAGTAGACACTGAAGAGCCTGTATAAGACCATCAGGCTCTTCTCAGCAGAGCCAGCCTCTTTGGTTGGCAGAAACAGCTGTGTAACCTGTTGGCAGAGAATCAGTCAGTGCTTGGAATTCTTCTGACTCTAACTTCTCAGTGGACATGTGTGGTTTGCTGTGTCTCGGACTTTGTGTTTAATAGGCTTACATTGGAATGATTTTAAGCCATCACATCTATACATCTGCTTCCCCTGCATCCCCTCCTCTTTCTGCCACTCATCAGTGAGGACTGGCTTCTCCACTAGAATTGGAGAAATCAGTTGCAAATCACCTGTTAACTCACAGCTTCCCCACTCCTCTGGGCTCAGTGCAGCGTTGTTCCTACAGGGTGTGTAATGCTTTTATGGCAGTTAAGAGGGCAGTGCCTTAAGGAATGTTTGGTGTTTGGAAATGGTAGGGACCTACCAGGAACTTGTTCACTTCCCTGGGACCAAGAGTTGAACTCAAACTAGGAAAAGCTGTGGGATACAGTTGACCAGAGTTCTTAGGAAAACTTGACTCTATGGTATGTGCAGCTCTGATGTTTGCCCTTTGCTTCCTTGAGGCACTGTTTCCTGGATTCACCTCCTGTTGCTCACCTTAGCATTAAACTGGGCCGTTTTTTTCACACTGGCACCTCTGAGTCTACTGCTGGTGGCATTTAGTTTACTAAGGGCCTGTGCCTGTTGGGTCCAATCTGGCTCCAGTCCTGCAAAACACTTAAGAATGTGTTCAAGAACTTTGCTGGATCAGCAGCTCATTTCTAGTTAGGCTGTAGTTGGACTACGTTTAGAAGGCTTCTCTTTGAACTTTCAGGAAGGTATGCAATAAGTACAATAAAAGCAGCCACAGCCTGATGGAAAGAGCATATACCCCCACAGTTGAGAGACATAAGCTTTATTTCCATCTTTGCCACTGACACTGTGTGTGACCTGGGGCAAGGCATGTAGCCTGTCTGAGCCTCAGGTTCCTCATCTGTATACCAAGCATTGTCAGTGCTTGCCTTTCTCTTGATTGAGGTCCTTGGATGAAGAGCTCTACCTTCTGTAAGCTGTGCTATGAAGGATAATAGAATGGAAATAGTTAAGATTCAGTCCATGGGGATGGGGACTGTCTGATTTGGTTTGGTTGGAGTACTGTGGATTTTTATGGCATTCCATAACATTTTTAAAAATGTAACTGCATACCATATAAAATAAGAATTATGTGGCTCTTTGCATGCTGATCAAGTAGTGAGTACACAAAGCATTAGAGCATCACTCCTGCGGTTTATGGTGCTGTCCCAGAACTCTGCAATGGAATCATAAGCTTGTAATTCACAATTTGTGCGTGCATATGCATGGCAAAATATTGAGGGATCAAACAGCTGTATGATAAAATCTAGGCTAGATTGGATCAATAGCCCATTGACTGAGAGTGACCCAGTACCCAGTGTTTGAGAGGAAGGTCCAAGAAACCTTTCAGTAGGCAGTTAGGGGATAACCCAATAGTTGGGAGCAAATTTATTCCCTATAGCATGGAGGTTACAACTTTAATTAACTAATATTTAATATTAACTAATATGTGTGTGGGTGTATTACACACTGATAATTGTAATCACTGTATTCCTGTAATTCTGTACATATTTTATGTATTATTTGAAATATGTAGCAAGATTTTAATAAGTATTTAAAACGATATTTCAAAGTGTTCCATTTTTTCCCATCATGTTTAAATCCAACTTTCTGGACTAAAAACAGAGAAACCACAACTGTGACCAGTCTGTTGGTACCCTTTGCTATAATCATCTTCAGGGTGATGGAACTGTGAGTTCTGTGAACACCATGTGGTCCATGGAAACTTCAGTGGAAATGCACATGGAGTAGACCTGTTCTGCCTGGTGGACTGCTAGGTGTCTGCCTAAGTCTGACCATCTTGATTCAAACTGATTTAATGTCAATTGCTGTGAGGTAACTTGGTCTGGAGGTGAGGAGTTTAATATTTAGATGTCATAGAATATCACAAGGAAATTCTGAGCGTGCCTTTTCTACAAATCTTCCCAAAAGGGAAAGGGGGAATCACTTGGACCAGTGGAGGCCAACCTTTTTCACAGGCAAGCCACAAATTGGCCTTGTACTAGCCCCAAGTGCCACTCCAATCCCCTTCCTCTGCTCGATTTGCTGCTCTGCTTTCTGCCCTGTCTGCTACTGTGTTGCATGGCACACGCACAGGTTGCCTGTGCCACTTGTGGCACGTGTGCTCACAAGTTGGCCATCCCTGACTTTTCATGGGAGTGGAAGCAGAGTCCCAGGCTCAGTGGACCAGGAGGCTGATTACAGCAAATGGGTCCTTCCAGGTTGTAACCCAAGCTCCAGTAGTGGCTTGCTCAGTCTGCAAAGGTGGGGAGTCTTTCCAAATTTCAAGACAGATTCAGAGGTAAGAGCAGATGATGTTATAATTTTAGACAGGGTTAATTGATTTTTAAGGTCAGAAGGGACCATTAGATCATATCTGACCTCCTGTGTCACACAGGACATAGAATTTCTCTGTTAGGCCTGTATTGATCTTTATCCAAACTACCATCAGCTTGGCATTCCTCTGTGTACTTCAAATGTTGGCTTCTTCAGCAGTGTATTGTTGTGTGGCTTTTCTGTGAGGTCTGGTTCATCACTCTTTTTTGTATTTTGTGTACAGCCCATCACTAGAGTTTTGTCTCCAATCAGATTTTCTCTACCTCTAGGGAGGCTACTCAGTTTAAGATCGGTGTGGCCTTAAACAAAAAGGATGGGAATAATATCTTTGTGAGAGAATCCCCTTTCCCCACACTCCCCTTAAAGATAACTTGTAAATATTCAACAGAAAATTTCATAAGGGACTAGCAAGATATAGCTTATTTTACCTTCTATTGCAGCCATATAAAATTCCATAAGTCAATATTTTGTTTCATGAGTGAAAATAGCACATGATTTTTCTCTTCTTAAAACACAATAGAGGGTAGCTCTATAGATGCTCTGACTGCTCTAGTGAGGCTTTGGGACAGGTCTGCAATGCTGGTAATGTATGAAAGCCTAGCAAATTGCATTGTGAGGCTTGCTGTTAGTTAAGGTTTAGAAAGCGTTACAGGAGACATACACGTGTGTATCAGGAAGATCTCTAGGGCTGGCGCCGATTTAGTCGCTGCCTGTGGATATGACTTTCCACAAGCCACGTGTCCTGTTTATGCCCACCTCTTCCATCTGTAAAATGGGGATAAACCATATTTCCCTGCCCTCACCATTTTTCTGGTCAGACCCCTGTATAAGCTCTTCAGGGCTGAGATTCTTTCACACTATGCCTTTGTACACTGTGTAGCACAAATTAGCCTAAACCTCCAGAGGTATTGTTCTTACACAAGTAAGTGTAACCTGGGAGCTAGCATCTCTCTGACTATGTCTGAAACAAGTGTCAGATGTACAGCAGATGCAAGCCTGGCTTCCAAGCAGTGGGGACATGATTGGAGCTGGAGATAGAAGTGCTAGTGTGTCAAAAATCATCTCCCCATCAAAATTGTTCTTTTTCTGCTCCCTACAGCACAGGGATGATGCTTGTCAGGGAAAAGCCACAAGGCTAAAACATGAGGGCATCAGCTCTCTTCTCATCACCTATGTCCCCCAAAGAAGCAGCCACTTTATGGAGGCAACTAGCCTCACAAGGATTAAATACCAAGTCCAGAGTGTTTTGGGCCCATTCCCTAAGATGACACAGATCATCTTAAGCA